TAGATAAATTCTGTTCTATTTTATACCATTTTTATTTTTATTATTATTTTGTATAGTTTAAATTGCATTTGTCAATCTACTCGCCATATATATATTTTCTATATTGGGCATTTCCAATCCCCCCTGAGCTGGTCTTAACATCAGAAGATTCAAGCTCATTCTCAGATGTTTCCCCGCCATACACATTTCCTGAAATCTCTCTGTATCATTGTTAACTAGGCTCTTGATATATTAAGCGGGATTTGTCTAAACAAGTACAACCACTGGGGAAGAACATAGGATTTTAAAATATTTACTCCAACAATGAAATGGGAATTCTTTTCCAGTCCATATGTTTTTTATTGGTTTGTTTTAGTAGAGGTAGAAAGTAATTTTTCAACAATCTTTGAAGTATTGGAACTAATTTGAATTCCAAGATAATTTAATTAATTTAACTTCACTTAAATCCATATTTATTACTTAACAATTTATTTTCTCTCTCTGTGATATTACTTCCTAATGCAATCAATTTTCCCCAATTCAACTTATATCCCCATATCTTCTAAAACAGTCGAATAATATACATTAACGCATCCATGGAACCTACTGGATCTTGAAGTGTTAAAATAACATCGTCGGCATATAAATTTAACTTAGATTGAATCTGATTAAATTGGAATCCTCATGTCCTTATTTTCTTTAATGGCCGCAGCCAAAGGTTCCAATTACATTATATACAGTAATGGAGACAGTTGGCATCCCTGTCTGGTTCCATTCTCCAATGTGAACCATCCAGAGCTAAATCCATTGTCTACTACTTTTGCTGATGGATTTATGTATAGTGCCATAATTGCCTCTAATATGGATCCCCCTAAACCAAATGCCACTAATGAGTGTTGTAGATAACATAACCCCACTCAACCCTGTCAAACACTTTCTCTGCTTCTAATGTCAGGGTTAGGAGGGGGATTCTCTTTCTTTGCGCTATTTCTAGAATGTCTATTAGTTTACGGATACTGTATGTTAATTATCTCCCCTGAACAAATCCCACCCGGTCCGGATGGATTATTTCCCCTATAATTATCTCCAATCGAGCTGCTATAATTGAAGAGTATAATCTGATATTGCATAGGTTTTATATATATATATATGTGTGTGTATGTGCATATATATGTGTGTGTGTGTGTGTTTGTATACATATATATATTTTTTTAAATTATAAATGTATATATATATATATATATATATTAATACAAAAATACAGTTAGAATGAATTATATACATATATATATATATATGTTTTAATTATTACTATTTTGTATTTATTATTTATATATATATAATTATATATATATTATATATATATATTATATATATATACATATATATATAATTTTATTCAAAGTGTATTTTGATATTAATATATGTATTAATATCAAAATACACTAATTATGAAATAATATATATATATATAATTTCATCATTAATATTATAGAAAAATATTTTTGCATATGTGTTACGGTTGCCTCCAGGCTGGCTGGAAGTTGGACCGTAGAAAGGATGCTCCTAGCGCTCACCAAAGGACCATCAGCACCGTAGACACCATAACTACTGCGTAGACACCATAAGTACTGCAGACTCCACGAACCGCCGCTGCTGGGCTAGAATCTCAGCTGGGCTAGAATACAGCCATGCTCCAGGTTCCAGTAGGTGAACCTCTTCCTTCTGTAGAGTGAAGCAGGATCAGGAACAAGAGCTCTTACAAGAGCTCAGTGGTTAAGAGAGTATGAAGAGCATAGCAATCCCTGTAGTGATTTTAGCTGTCGCCTACAAACATGAGTCAAGGCTGCAAGTTAGAGGGTCAAGTCGTTCTCATTTATTTGGCACCAAAGGGCCTTCTTTTATGCAGGTTTTCCTTAGATAGGACCACCCACAGGGTTTTACAGAACAACCAATAACACACGTACATTACAGAAAACACTCCCAGCAATTACACACAAAATCCTCCCCTCTACCTGTGATCTAATTATGGCACACAATGGGTTAACATAATTATCACAGGCAAGAAAAATACAGTTTTTATACATTTACTATAACTTTAAAACCATACATCCAATCTTCATAAAAACCACATACTCGAACTCAGCACACTTAAAATAAAAAACATATCCAAAAATTAGACAATTCCCTCCAGTGGTTTAAAAGTTAGGTCGAAATCCTTTGTAACCAACTGAAGCATGGCTTTCCAGCCCAAACCAGTTCCACAGAGTCCTCTATCCTGGAGATAATTGGCTTAACTGGGTGTGGTAAGCCAACTATCTCCAGGTACAGAAAATATCCCCATTCACAACAACAGCAAAAATACACAAAAATACATAACTCATATCATACTGAACAGAACCCCCACATGCAACCTATCCCCAGATGGCTTGGATCTGAGAGCTCAATATATCCAAATAGTGCTCAGATCCCACAAACACAGTCAAATCGCCATACACACTAGGTCCATAGTCATGGGGCAGAAGGCTGGCAATTAGAAACATAGAAACATAGAATGTGACAGCAAATAAGAACCATTCGGCCCATCTAGTTACAAATAGCAGTTACAAATAGCAGTTTGTAACAATATGTATAATGATTTTTTTTCACTATATTTTCAGTTCCACAGATTGCTATTTCGGCAATGTGATCGCGATGTCATTGTGATCACATGGCTGCGGAGGACTGGACTTGCCAGAGGGGGACTACATTGGTTGTCAGGAAATCCACAGAAGCGGATTGCCTGTGTAGGTAAGTACCCTGAGATTCAGAGGACCGCATACCATTATGGTGTTTTATGCCACTGTAATGACGTTTTAGCTCCCTTAATGTGAGATGGCATAGAATACCATAACAGCGTTAACAGGTTAATAATTATCATCTGCTTAATAACAATAGTCTGAAGTTGCTCTATCTCTTGTGCAGAGAGAGTCTGCCTGCGCTTTTGGTCTTAACATCCCTTTTGGGTGGGATCAGTTGGATATGTAAATGGTTTCGGTTCTCTTTGTAATTGCAAGATGAGCTAAAATCAGCTTGAGATCTGAACATGGACCCACCGAAAGGCAAGCTACTAGAGTTGCTGTCTCTCAGTATTCTCTTGCACCCTGTTTCTTGCTCTACCTAGCAGGGATAAAATAAAATATATTTCTGTTTGAAAACGCAAACAAAATACATTTTATAATACCGTGCTGATTAAAAACATTGTTGGCTATCAAATGTGCGTGGATTTAAATTTTTCAATTATTTATTATTTTCTGGACGCCTTCTTGATAGTGGTCAGTTGGTTGGGAGTTGAGGCCTGGTTGGTAATTTGATTTTTATAGGATTTTGGATGTTGGCGGTAAGCTCAGACATGCAATCTTGTTATCTGAAAGTCAGTGGTTCTTAGCTGTGAATTGTGTCTGGCATAGTGGTATTATAGTCATGTTGGGCATATGTTCTTTGGTTTTGGCTAACTTTGTGGATTCTTGATTCTGTATTGCAATGTTATTAAATAAAAATTGAAAAGAAAATGGAAGAACTGAGAATGACGGCAATGGGTAGATATACACGATATGTGGAAACGTGGAAACCTTGGGTAACATTCTTAGAAACATACCCAGGTGCGTGAGGGCACGCAGAGGTAGTAACACAGTACTGTTAAGGAAAGGCGGATGAGAAGGGTAAAACTCTTCGACACAGCCCTTATTACCAGAGACCGAGGCGAACGCTGAGGGAGCTGCACAGGAGCCAGGAATGGACAACAGTTGGGTAATAGGGAAAACGGTTAGCATCAGCGGCTAGTGAGCTGCACGAGTAGCAGAGAGGGGCAAGAGGGATGTACAATGTATTACCTGGCAAGACCGACTTACAACTTGTCAATTCTCCACACCTCAGTCTGAATTGTATGTATGAACTTAGTTAAGTTTTGTATGATGTCTATAATAAGTGCTATGCAATATGTCTGTACAAAATGGTCAAGTCGTTTCCTTATGTTCTGTACCTTTTATTTCTTACTGCACCTTGCATGATCTATGATTACGAGATCGAATTCGCTGCAAAACTCAAAAAATAAAATAAATTGAAAAAAAAAACTACAGAAAGTGTTATACCAGCTAGGGCTAGTGGCTGTTGGCTCCTTTGTCTGTGTTGGCACCTTAGCTGCAGCATTTAGGGGCTCCATTAACCCCATTAAGGACCAAACTTCTGGAATAAAAGGGAAACATGACATGTTACACATGTCATGTGTCCTTAAGGGGTTAAACTACTCCATTGAATAGTGATAGTGGGCTTATGTTTATGTTATAATGTGGTCCCTAGGATCATGTAGCTTTACAAGAAAACATGCACTAGCAGAGGATAGAGAGGATGACAATGTATGTGCCCAAGCAGGAGACATGTAGATGTTTGTGCAGTATAGACAGTGTGAAGAATCAGCTACTTGAATGCAGTGATATTCTACAAAAATCAATCAAATTAAAACACTGTAATTATATTCACAGTGAAAAGGAATAATCACCTAATGGTTAAATGGCATCCAGAGAATGCCAGAGAGACTTTAGGGTGAATGGTGGCAATGACTGGTGAGCAGTTGGATTTAATTTATTGAACTATTTAATGTCAGTCTGAGACATATCAACTAGTTTAGATTGAAACCGAAAGTTATGGACTGTTTTTTTTTAAATTATTATTATTATTAACTATTTATTTCTATGATTGCATGCGCAAATATTCTCTTATGTCATGTAAGAATATAAAATATAAAAGTTGTTTGGGTTACTGCTGATAACCTTTGCTATATGAACTTAGAACCCCTAATTTTTAAAATCACAATTAAAACTTTTTTAGGTAAAAAATCCAGTGATTTTACCTGTAGGTCTTTAGAACAAAAATATTGTAGAGTAAATAAAGATTTTTTTTATATAATTAAAAAAAAATAATGTTTAATTAAAAATCATGAAGAACTAGTTTGTTTGTTTGTTTTTGTACAGATTTTCGCTTTTATTTCTGAAACTAAACATAAAACACAATATGTACACATTGAAAGTAAATTGTAAACATTTCTTGTGATATTATAATGCAACTTGAAGATTATTTACAAAATATAACATATTACTATAAATTGGCTTACAATAGACATGGATTTTGTACAGTATATATATATATGCATATTCATAAAAGATAATAATTAATTGCTTGTTGCAATGATATGTTTAAAAACTCCAGTTGCAACCTTGATCAAGTAATGACAATTATGAGGTAAATAGTGGTAGCATTTGTACAAATACTAACATTACATAAATGTTGATGTAAAACTGTGCACAAAATACATAGCATTTCTATAAAAATATAGTAATGCAAGCAATTAAATATTAATATTTACAAGGTAATTATAGTTAAAACACTATAAACAGCCACATAGAGTAGTATATTGTCACCTTATTTTGGCAGAATTTTTTTTAGATAATTACACACTTTACAGGTATATATAAAATTCAAAATATACACAATAAATATATTTGCAAATTAGAACTGTAAATAATTCTTTACTCTGTGAACACATGCAATGCATCTACGAGCCTGTTCCTTTGTTTAATTTGATATAGCACCATCTAATTCCTGCATCTTACAGCTCTAGTTGAGCAACTAATTCGACTACTTTGTTGTCAATTTTCTAAGTTTTTTATGTGCACTATTGCAGATATCTCTCAAAGACGAATGGCTAATGTAGTTAAGTTGGCTATTTGTAAGCTGTAAATCGCATAAAAGCATATTTATTTATTTTGTAGATTTTTTAAATCCCGCATGGAGAGAATTGACTCCAAATATTAACAAATTAGGCCTTGCATACTACACAATTAATTGAATCGAGTTGGCAATAACTTAATTTAGAGAAAACTGAAAAAAAAAAAATTCTTCAGCTCAAGTGGATTGGATTTTTTTTTCTCTAGACAATTATTTTGTCCTTAATACATGAGTTGTTTTTAAACTTGCCACAACTTAATTCGTGTTCTAATACATTTTCAAAATAATATGTTATTCGCTTTGTAATGCTGAGTCAACTGAACTGCAGGCTAACAAGATGGCATCAATGGATGGATGCAGTACATCGTTCTTAAATACAGGAATCAACTTCTTATTTATATATCAATGAAAACTATACATTGCATTAATATTTGGATCTCAGATACGTGTTTCATTTTGTTGTTTGCTTTGTATGGAACACATTGATCTCACTATATATTTTGTCTATTTTGGGGTATTTGAACAGAGCATTCTATTATCTGCTTATTCTGGTGTGTGCTTTGCTCTTTTTTGTATTTTCCATACTTATTAAAGCCCCTGAGTCTATACGAGTTAGTGAACAGTTTTAATCCTGGTATATTTAAATTTCTGCAAACCATGGTGGCTATGCTTTTAACTTGTATCTGAAATCTACATCATGTGTTGGCTGTAATATCCCCAGCCCTGCACGGGATTGATCTAAAGGTGGAATTTTTGTATTTTTGTCTATGATTTCTATATCGAAGTATGAAATCAACAGAGTCAGTAACTGTTTAATCTCATGAACAGCAAATTGTCGCCCTGGGCACTTGGTTTTTCCTGATCCAAAGGGCAAATAATAGTATTTTAATTTTCGGCCTTTTAGGTAAAAGTTGGTCTTTGGCTTTAGATTTTCATCCAGGTAACGATCATATTTGAAAGTCTGCAAAAAGACACAGAAATTGAAACATTAGATTGGAATTCAATGTAAATGTTAATTCTCTAAGTTAATACTAAAGATAGATGGGGACTTTCTGAGTTTGACCCTGAGGCTTAGGTTTGGAGGCCAAATACCAAGCCTTCAAAATAATGCATTTATTCATTAGCAGGGAATGTTACACTCCTGGGCTGCTCCCACTCTGAACAGAGTTTTTTCCCCATTTAGTTGCAACCATGGCCCCTTACTGTGCAGTCGCATCTAATTTTTGCCTATCCCTTATATTTAGGGTTATCTGTCCTCTTACTTTTTCTTAAGAGGGGGATAATTTGAGGAACATCAAATGTTCTATGTTCCAAATTATGGTTATGTGATCTGAAGAAGGTTCTTTAACCCCTTAAGGACCAAACTTCTGGAATAAAAGGGAATCATGACATGTCACACATGTCATGTGTCCATAAGGGGTTAAAGAAACTGCATTACCACTGTATGAGAAACAAAAATTACAATTACTTACCAAAGGGTCTTCATAAACTTCGGGGTCCAGATGTATTGTCTGTGGGTAAAGTGCTACAATGTCGTCTTTTCGGATGGTGTAAGACTCGTTGTTGTCAAGTTGTAGAGCAAAGTTTTCCTTAGCAACTCTGATATTAAGGGATGCACTGGAAAGCCTCATCGATTCTTTAATTATGCTATCTATGTAAATAAAATCCATTAAAATGGTTAACTCTATCTTTACAAACGATTTCACATGCAACTTCTACTAAATCTACCATAATTTTCAAACCCTTATTTTTTTACATCCATCACATTACCATTTTTAACGACATACCATGCAATGTTAACTGAATCTGAAAAAGTATATTGTGACCCAGAACACAAAATAAACTTTTAGATCACATGATGCATAATGGAAGATCCCATAAAAAGAACCCGTTAGTACTCAGTCCCCTATTGGCAACGGTTTCCTGTTAGCAATATACTCATCTCAGATTCACTCTGTTTGGCTGTGTATATTGTAACAATAGTAAACGTACCTAGAACAGGCATTTCATCAAGCTGTTGACGGTTGAGGAATATGTATTTTCCATCAAAGCCGATTTTCTGAGATGCCTTCTCTAAAACTTGATGAACTTCTTCACTAGCAGCTTTCATTGCTCTTGGGCACCTATTAAAATAAAATACATTTAGTTAGGTAAAGCACATCATATAGTAATTATACTTGGTATTTATTATAACTTTTATTTTGAACAATAACATTAAATTATAAGAATTAGTAAATATATTTCTTGTAAAGCCAAAATCTTCTTTATTTTATACCTAAGAAGGTGGAATACACTCCAGAATGTGGCAGGTAGTGTGTTTGCTTGAGAAGCCCAGAGGACAGCCAAGTGTGTCTTTGCTTTGTCCATGTCACTTAAAGTGGAGAGCGTGTCATTTAAAAACATTCTGAGAGTTATAAGGTCAGAAATATTATTCCTCTTTCTCAAGTTCTCATGCATCAAGTCTTTGGCAAGGTTCTCTCTAGCACTGTGGGCAGTTTTGAACACATGAATTGGAAGACCTGCTACCAGCGCAGGGAATATTTTGTCAAACTCCTTAAAATTTTCTAATGCATTGAGGATAAGTGCCCTCTGTGCTTCCTGTCTTGCAATATTTGGATCTTCTTTTGAATTGAACTCATTCCCAAAGAGTGTTAAGTAACCAGACTCAAACATCACACGGTAGCAGAATGCATAGAGGCCATCGGTTACCCAGTCTTTGTTGGTTACTTTAAATGTGTTGGGTTGTAACATGGTGTGTTGAAGATTTTCCATCATGGATGCAATGAGAGGGTCTAGTGCATCACCTTGAAGAGTTCTCATAAAGGTTTCATGAACATTTTCGGTTGTCTTGCCATCTGTGGGATCTATGCTGCTGTGGCCAAAAGCCTGAATGACAGAAGGAATAAGAAATATAGTTCATGTTTAGAAATTCGTACATTAAAAGTAATGAGCAAGATCCATAATGTAACGCGCCAAAGCGTCATCTAATATATTATAAATCTTACAATGAGTTAGCACTAAATACTTCAAAATTTCTCATAAACGATATAATATTGGGGATTATCTAATATAATAGGAGTAAGATAAAACATGGTTATCAAAGCCAATCATGTTATATATAACCAGCCAAGTTTTACAATGTCATTTAACAACATCTGAAAATAAATGTTAGATAACATTCAGAACAACCCTTCATTTCATACCTTGGCTGAGGTTGCATAGTGGAATTTCTGCCAATCGAAATGTTTTCCGGAACGCATCACTGAGTTGAAGGAGAAAGGGTCTGTGACAAAATGAACAAACTTTCCAGCAATTTTGCAGGTAAAAATATGCCCATATTTGTTTTGTCTCGATCTGAGAAATTCGAGAGGATTAGCACCAAATTGCAAGGCACATCCTAGATATGGAATTAGGCCATTCTCCAGAGGTGGCTCTCCAGGATGTCTACAGAGAAAGAGAGACCATAGCATATTATGTAGCCACTAAACTGCCAAAATACATAACTTATTTCTTATTTAAAGCCATAGTCATTATCTTATATGGCTAAACCTGAACATGATTCCAAATTAATTTTACATGCTTAGCGGGCCTTTTTGTGTTTAAAACTTGGCCTTTAGCCCATTAAAGACTATGAAAGCTACTATGGAGGTTAAATCAACAAAAGAAATCAAACACTTGATAGCTATGACATGAGGCAATTATTGGCACATATTTACTACTGGATTTATTGAAGGAATTCCCACCCTTTTTCATGTTTAAAACTTGGTGAATTTAGTTTAATCCCCAAAAGACATTTAAACCAAAATCATAATATGATCCCTAGACACCATATGGCAGCATGGGATGGCCTACCTATTTAGCATTTGAGTCTCTATTCAGCCGTGCTATCATGAAATAAGTACGACACAGTATTTTGGAATAGAGATTCTAAATACCAGATTGCGACAATGGCATTGACAGATCTTGATCTTCAAGAGGTAATACCACATTAAGTATATTACATTGTTCAGAAAATAATTCAAAGTATATTTCATGTTTTAATTATTTGTTGCATAGAAACACTTTATGTTTTGTACTTCTTTCATTTTTCTTTTCAGTGTAAAAGTTACTGTTGTGTGTAAATTACATGAATTTGTTTTAGGAATAAGGGTCATAATAAAGTAATCTTTATTGAGAAATACAATAATAATTTGAAAAAAGACACGTATAGACAGAATTAGGAGAACAATCGAATTTTGCAAGTAAACAATCAGGATAGTTTTGCTTTAAATTATTTTAGGAAGTAAGAGAAATTGTGACCTTTAATCTTTGAAATATATATATTGCACCTCGATGCAGGGCCTACTGTGTCTGTGATCTATACATATCTATAGATAGATAAACAAAGTGAAGTGCTAGGAAACCGGTTGCTGTAACAATATTTGTTTTCTAATTAAGACTGTAAAAAAATAACGAGTGGATAATGCATTCCAACACAATTTACAATATCTAATCACTAACAGGGAATTATGATGAGTTGACTAGATACTTGCAAGATGTAGGTCAAAGTAACTGAATTGAAGAAATAAAGTCTGTTGAATCGATTGATCTCCATCTTGGCTATTTTATCCTACATATTGCAACTCAACTGCTAACTAACTGCAATTCTCTGCTTAGTGAAAATTACCCCAGGGTAGTTTGTATAATTGTCACTGCACTATATAATTAAATTATTTAAAAGTGTAGAAAAATAATGTTTTTCCTTACCGTCTTCGGATGCCAACGATAAGCCAGAAAAAACAACATAGTGCGACCACCAATCCCCATATCAGTGATATAGTAAGCATTGTTTCTGGAATGACGTTCTGATCAGTGACCAAGGATGGAGCACACTGTTAGTCTAAAGCCAAGAGCAGTGCTGGACAGTAGGACAGAGGACCAATCTTTTATACACTCACAAAAAAGGGGGTTGCAAAGCTGGTGAACTGTAGTAATAGCTGAAAGGTATTAATTAACCTCAATGCAATAGGCAACTTTTTTTTTTACGATAGAAAATCTTTGCCAAAAAAAAAAAAAAAAGTTAAAGGCTATTGCAGAATTGGCCTTGAACTTTGTTCACAGATATGAACTGAACTTCAAATGTAAGCAAAGAGTTGTAATAAGCGATAATTTGAAGGTCTCTAAAGGCGTATTCAGGTTGCTCATGCAACTATACTAGCTTCCAAATGCAACTGAAATGTAAGAGTTACACGATAGCAGATTCTATTGCAGTTCATTTGGTTCTTTCTTTGAATGTGCATTCCTGAGCACAAATAATATATTGTTCTACAGACAGAAATTATATTACTGCATGATTTAACTCTAATAGATATATTGGATGTAAAGTAAAACAAGGTGTCCCAATAATAAGAAGTAAATATTTAATATGGTAATATGGAATAATGATCATGTGGGTGATATTACAAATTGCCATACCGTCAGCTATCTTTTATTGAAGATATGATAAGCAAAGGATAAACACTGATGGAATATTGTAATTAGAACACTAGTGGAAATTGTATAAAGGAACACAATTAAGATTACTAACACATTAATATGACCAATTTAAAAAAAGTAACAATAAAATGCCCTTGGCGTGGAATTCAAGCAGAACCACTTAGAACCACTACTGGTCCGTTCCAAAAATGCACCTGAAAGAGCATCATGTAAAAAACATATATGGTTATTTCTTTATTATCTTTATGCTATTTGATAGGTATGTAGTGACACACACAATTACATTATCTCAGAATTGCAGGTTCAATTTTAACTTAGGTTTGTCACTCTTGCAATAGCAATAAATAAGAAGAGTATAGTTGAATATGATGTCTTATTACAACAGTAATAAAACCCCAGAACATATTTGGCAATTAGCAACTGCTAAACATATCTTTCCTGATTATTATTATGATTATTATTACTGTTATATTAATCTGATGGGCCACCTCCATGTGTCCTTTTGATTGTGATGACTTTAGTTGTTACCTGTATAAGATGCCGTGTGACTGTACAAATTGCCACTAATTCTACTTGAAATGTTCAAACCATACATGATGTTGAAATATAAACAAAGCAATGTAAACAATAATGTCTTATGATTAAGAACTGCAGCTCCAAGCTTTTGTCCCCAGCCGTTGGAATAAGATTTTCAAAATCATCTCAGAATTATATGTAACAACTTAGAAATGTGCAGGTTCCTTTACAATCTATAATATTTATGGTCACTTTCATTAAAATTTTAATATTAGCACTCAATATATCAGTTATATAGTACATGGTCCAGCATCTCTTATTTTCAGCTTTTGTCCATTTCGCTCCAAAGTTTAACACTATTATCCATATGTCTACTTAATTATTGGATACACACTGTATGTGTGTGTCTGTGTGTATGTACTCTGCATACATGCACACACACATGTACATTCTGTGTCCAATAATTATGTATGCACATGGATAATAGTGTTAACCTCTTTGGGGAAACTGGAAAATATGAGATGCTAAACCATGTACTATATAAGCTCGCACGCGTGTGTGTGTGTGTGTGTGTGTGTGTATGTGTGTGTATAAAATCCTTTAATTTACATTTCAGGCTTGGTACAATGCAGACCTTTAATAAGCATACAAACACACCAGCAAATAACATATTTATAACATATTTATAAATAAACAAAAAAAAATTCACTTACCATTAGCTGGTATCCGCTGTTTCATCTCTGAATGCAGTTCTAACTTTTGCCCACATAATATAAACAACCTGGGAACCAGTGAAAATAAATGTAGTAGAAGGTAGTAGATTGTATCATGTGACTGCAAGATATATGACCCACATCTTACACAGCCATTATTAGGAAGGATTTCATTAGTGACATAGCAGCGTTTGGGATTATATGAAGACAAAATGTGTCTCAGATCATGATTTTTCTTTTTTGGAGAGAATAACTGGTGGTTCATCTAATGTTTACCCCAACGTAATTTGACATTCATCAATTTTGGATACAAGGGATATGAAGACCAGCTGTTAAGGGTGTTATATTCCAAAAAAAGAATCACTTCAAACATAAGCTGGCTAAGATAAAACACGTTCTTAAAGGGACACTGTAGGCACGATAACCTTTTCCTCTAATCAAATTGGATATGGAGCTTGGAGTCCCCGGCACTGTTCCTCCATTCAGTGTTGAACCATTTTGTGAGCTGTGCAACTTTAAACAGGAGCCCCTGGAACCCACAGTCAGGCCCATACTGAAGCAGAGACTATACACTTCCTTCTAGCCATACCAGCAATGGGTGAAAGTGGTCAACTGACACTCTCAGCCAATCACAGCTGCCCACTGCTGCTCAGGTGAATGCTTCCTCATTAGTTCAAGCAGCAAAGAGAGGATGGGTTACTGGGGATTCTTGTTTAGCAATAAAACATTAAAAAGGTTGAACACTTAATGGAAGAATGGGTCCAGGAGACTCCAAACTCTATAACCCCTTTAATAAGATGGAGCCCTTATAGTGCCTTCAGTGTCCCCTTATTACGGAAAGTACAACAAAAAATGTCTACTCATAAAAAAGTGAAATCAAGTCATTTTTCATATTACTTTAAACATATACTAAAAAGGACCAATTTATACAACAAAATTCATAATAGCTCTGACATTGCCTATGCATGCTGTTATATATTTGACTTACTAGAGTTCTTTTTTTACATTTGGTTTTATTCTCTAAACATTCCATTGTAGTGAACTGATAATACAACTGCAAAATTTAGGCAAAGATAGTCTAATTGGAGAATTTTTCCAATCATTCAATTTGTTCTTACATTTCTTAAAATTGGGTTTTTAATTCACTATAATTTAGCATTTGGTGGATGCATACAAATGTGTCTCTGATACACTTTTAAAAGCTTTATTTTCTAAACTGAGAATTGTGGAGCTGTGACAAACGAAGTGCAATTTTTCCCAATTCGGCTATTTTTTTACCAACAATTCACCATATAGAAAATAAATCACAGCATATTAAGATTACCATTCATGCTTTCATTTAGCGTACTTTCCTACGTTTCTAAGTGTTTCATTGTTACTATTTATAGAGTTTATGCTGTTCTTAATTTTGCATTCTGTAGACACACATAGACAAACACATACTTTCCAGATAACAACCATAACACATAATTAGGTTAATGGGATCAGTATAGTAGAAAATGAAGACATAACAGAAAATGTAAAGGAGGAAAACAAATAAATACCTTGCACCATTGAAAATGGTACCCTTCCATTAAGGAGGCCACAGACTTTTTTGAAGTTACTGGCCGCAGCTCACCACAAGATTTCAGCTGCATGTGGTCCCCCACTTCGACCTTGGTAAATGTTGTGGTTTGTCTCTCGGACAGTGGATCTGTCACTACAACACTTGTACAGATCGTGAGGAGTCAAGGTAAGGTTCCGGTGGTTGAGCTCGCTGAGGATCTGATGCATCCCTGTTTTCCCTGCTCTTTAGTGATCTTCGTCACAGCAACATTTTGGACCAGTGTAGGGACCCCCCCCCTTCACAGTTCAGGATTTGTTCAGAGAGATCACCTTATCCTTCTTTTTAGCAGGTTCATTTTTTATTGTATTGTGTACATATTTTTATTTGGTATATCCCTTTGGGTAACCACCCTCATCTATACTCCATTGTGCTGGTTATATGTCAGTGTTCCTCCGAGATCACTGTTTAGTGGATCTGTGTTTATCTTAGGGGTATTCCAGTCACTGTTTTTTTTTCTACAGCATTGTGATTAGGAACACCCCTACCATAACCACTACTTCTTGGAAAACATTGCTTTTTATGTCTTATATTGATGTTTATTACACTGATTTTTTTTTTTATGTATTGTATTAATCCTTGTTACACTGAACTGATACTTTGTAGCTGAGTGTTGGTTTGGATGTGTGGGACCTTTTTTATGTATAAGAGTATGATTTTATAGTGTGTTTTTATGCTATTGGTTCATTTATACATTAAATATTGATATATTTATTTAGCATAATTCGGTTGTTATATGATTTGATAATACTACAGAGAACTAATGGGTTCAGAGCCTCCAAGCTCCAGGATAGTTGGGTGATCCTGGGATATTTTTGTTGCCCGGGTTCCCCTCACCAAGAGTAACTCTGTTTTGTCCGGTTTCACTTTTAGCCAACTAGCATTAATCCATTCTATGAGGTCTGCTAAGCAACTGTTGATGCGGCGTGTTGGGTTTGAAAAGATACATTTTAGTGCTCCTATTTTTTAAATGTAACTAAGTGAGGTAATTCCAAACTCAATTAAATTAATTCAATATATATTTTTTTTTGCGAAAATAAATAAGGTTTTTTTTTTTTCAATTGAATACATTTTTGTATTTCTTTACAATTTACAAAAAGCTATTCTGGCTCTAACATCTTCAAAAGCTGTTCAACCCCAATTAATTATGTTTTAGCTTTTGGGTTTTTTCAGATGTAAATATAATTGGGAAAATCAACTTACTGTTATCATTGCATTAGTGTTATTTTTATAAATATATTAGCACACAATATATTTTCAGTTTGCATGGACTTTGTTCTTCATTGATCTTGCACAGTGCAAACCAATTCTCCTGCCTATATAAAAAAGGTTACGAATGAAAGTGCACAGGCAACAAATGTAAGTGTGTTCATAGTAAGAAGTATTAAAATCAGAGAATTTTTTACATATTTACTGCAGCAATGCAATTCCTACAAAAACAATGTATATTTCCTTGCCTTTACCTTACTCAACACCACTGACTCACTCACCATTATGATTGTAAACAAGGCTTCCTTCACCGCTTGTCAGTGTTATATTCTGTATATCAATTACTTGTTATTAAATATACCTATTATAGAACTGGAAAGCATAGTGGAGTATGTTGACA